CATTTCCTGCTAAAATGCTAGTGTGAATGCTGATTGCTGAAAACGTAAGCTGAAGCTCAAATTTGAGCTGAACATGTTTAGCAAAAGTATTCTTCGTAAGTTAAAATTGAAAAGCTGAAAGAAGCTTAAACATGCAGAAAAACAGTAAAAAAGGAGCAAAAATATAGTTGGAATAGCATAAAATAGAGAGAAGTATATAAAAAGCAGAAGAATAGCAWATAGAAGTAGAATTTTAGCTAAAATAGCAGCAAAGCAGCTAAAGTTAGCATAAAAATGAGCTAAAAGTAACAGGCTGAAGTTAAAAGTAGCACCCTGATGGTGAAATTGTTGTAAAAAATTTCAAAATAAGCAGAATAACCCCATAAGACTACAAAAAAGTGATTAATTGAAGTAAAATATGTAAAACAGCCGAAGTTTTTCAGTCAAACAGCTAAAAAGTAGCTGGAAACATTTTAATTAGCATAAGGATGCATAAGGAGCACAAGTTTGCTGAATTTAGCAGAATTAAGTTGAAATAGCTAAAAAATGTGTAGTTAGCTTAGAAAGCTAACTTTGGCTAATAACAGCTAAAATTTAGCTAAATCTGTTGCTGTGTATAGCTGAATATAGCAGAAAGCAGCTGTAAGAAGCATAAATATCACAAATTAGAAAACAGAAGAATAGCAGAAAGAAATAGAATTTTAGCTAATGTAGCAGCAAGATGGCTAAACGTAGCATACAAATAAGCTAAAAGTGACAGACTGAAGTTAAAAGTAGCACCCAGATGATGTAATGGTTATAAAGATTTCTAAATTAGCAGAAAAAGACCCATAAAACTAATAAAAAGTGATCATTTGAAGTAAAATATGTAAAACAGCCGAAGTTTTCAGTAAAATAGTTTAAAAGTAGCTGGAAACATTTTAATTAGCATAAGGAGCACAAGTTTGCTGAATTTATCAGAATTAAGTTTGAATAGCTCCAAAAATTGTGTAATTAGCTTAGAAGACTAACGTTAGCTAATAACAGCTAAAATTAAATAAATTTGTAGAAAATAGCTGAACATTGCAGAAAGCAACTGTACGAAGCATAAATAGTACAAATTAGCAGAAAAAGCACAAATAAAACAGAAAATAGCAGAAGAATAGCAAAAAAGAAGCAGAACTATAGCTGAAATAGCAGAAAACAGCTAAAATTAGCAGAAAAAAGTAGCTAAATTTGCACAAGAGAGTAAAATAGGCCATAACCAGAACAAATTGTGTAAGGTTTTGTAAAGATTTAGAATTTATTTGTAGGATTTTAAGGTTGTTGAAAATAGCCCCATTCAAAATCAGTGGGAAAAAAGTGGCTAAAAAATTACAAATACCTGAAATACCAAAAGTCATAGCTGGCATTGCACGAAAGAGCTGAACGTTTTGATGTATGAATGTTTGGAGCACAAAAACTGTGGAACGAGAAAGGTGCTGAAAAACGTACGGAAGAACAAATGATCTCTGTTGTGTGAATGCCAAACAGACATTCACACAATTATTAAACATGTTAACACAACAGTGTTGGTGGAACATTGTTAAAAGTTTTAATGATCATAATGTTGAGTCTTACTGGGGAATCAAACATAAAGTAAAGATAC